TATTTCACTTAACAACCAAATGACCTGTTTTTAAAAATTTTATTTTTATTTATTTATAAATTCAAAAACATCAGTTTACTTGTTACAGCTATCACTAAACATTCGGCCAGTACAGTTCTGAACCAACTCTTTGAACAATGGAAGTATCAGCTGAACACACGGTTGATACCCGTAAAGACAAATTTTTGATATTACTGCTGATTGTACCCATCTAAATTAAGAGAATAAAAAAAGTCACCAGTAAATGAGCCCAAAAGTTGCTAGAAATAATTTGAAAACTTTATTTTAAGCAGCACTAATGAACTTACATTTTCACATCAGATTCCCGTTGTAAAGTTGGTATAAACGTTTTTACATAATGATGATACAAAGGTTCCAACAGAAATATACCAAACCTCTAAACTTTATTTATCTGTCTTATTCAAAACAAAAAAAATTTTTGCTCCAGTTTAGTTTAGTCAACATAAAGCAATTATCTCTTTCTTTTCATTCATTAAATAAAACAAAATAAGCTTTTCAACAAAACGTCCAAGTAACAAGAAATTTGTTTTCAACGATAAACTGCAATTTCTATGAAAAAATTTGAATTACCGTGAACAGTGCTGATTTTGAATGCACTTTGAATTTTTCATTTAAAACGTCAAAATGACGAAAAAAACATGACAGCGGGCTAAGATTCAATTCCTGTTTTAAATAAATCCCCAGTCGCAACGGTACTTCAAATGATATAATCTTACTCCCGGCAAGTGTAAATGCATCGTCTAAAATTAGCCATGTTAGCCATTTGTGTAAATTTATCAGTACCTTTTTTGGTTGATAAAATTTTGTCAATTTTATAGTAAAAAACCTTCTTACCAATCAGTCGAACACGAGCATTTGGCGATATTTCTGTATGATTTTCTAGAAGCTGTACAATTAGATCTTTCCAGGTATTTTCATCATAATTGATCCGATAATATCCTCTGGTATCAACATCAACTAACACAGGCCTCCTTGACGCACGTAACACCACTAAATATAATTCAACTGGTTAACATGTTCTGAAAAACTTCTACAAGTTTCTTCACCTAATCGTCCTAAAGGTCAAGAAATACTTTGCTCTACTGTGTGTCAAACTTTATATTTTACAAAGAAAGAAGACACTATTAAACAGCACTTTTTTATTTCTAGTTCTTCAACTTTGAAAAAGTGAGCAAAAAAACCTTCTTTATTTTATTCATATCATGATCAATATAAAAGCTCTAATATCGTTAGTAAATTTACTGTATAAGAGTACATCTTCAGTTTTTTAAAGAATCCTCAAAAAAATGATGCTAGTTTTGAGCACATTATTCTTCGCAGTTTTTAACTTTTTGCGCTTTATCCTATGCTAATGACTGTCGTCGACCCTCATATTTACATTCACCTTCTTCTCAACAAGTTTTTTTTTGACAAAAACCTAATTAAATTTGCAAAGCATGACTCTTCATTGATTTCAATAATAGGCATGAACTATAAAGTAGAACAACACAAGTTTCCAAAACTACGGCGTTGAAGCGCTTTCTGTTTGATCACTTGTAAGGAACCTCCTTAAAAGACGGAAAAGTCTGATAAGAGGCAATAGATTTTCATCCATTTTACCACTAATATAAACAGACAAAAGAAGCATGACGAAAGTAGCATTGTCGAATGCATGTTTACCCATCGAGTGACAACCAGTAAAATTTTGTGGATTAAATTTCAACATAGGAAACTGAAATTGTCCCAGATTTGCTTTACAAATGATAGCGGACAGAGTGATTTATTTGAATACAATTTGTTGTTCTCAGTTTTATATTAAAAAAAAAAAAATTTAGAAAGCCCAAATTTAGACATGAAGATTATTTAGAATATTAAAAAACTTCAGAAGAAAGCAATCACTGTTAAGTGAACTTGAAATGTACTGAAAATTGATGTCTAACGTAAATCAGTCTATTAATCATAAGAGAGACTTAAAAAAGAACCCTAAGAATTGTTGGCGCAAATTTGACTTTTTGCCAACAGTTTTGGAATTAAACTTTGAACTTGATTTTATTTGACGTATCAAAAAGATGCTAAAATAAGCACAATTATTGTTGCTACTGGTGATGATTGGTGATAATGATGGTGCTAAGGTTGATAATCATCAGATGTTACTGGGGAAACGATGAAAAGCACTAACAACTTTCGTTTCTTCGTAGCCATAAAATTGAAGATGGATCATTAGTTTTGACAAATAGTGGTACATTCCACTGGAAATTTGTCTCACTACTGTTGCCAATATCATCAGTATTATACAGTTTTTGAGAGACCATAATTTTATCTCCACTTCTATCAACCTAAATTTTTCAATTATTAATGCAAAATTTATTGTTTTTTTGTTTTTCTATTTATTAGCAATTTATGCGCACAACTATATAACGTAATCAAATTTTTCTGATTGTTTGAATAAAAAAAAACTGAAGAAAAATTGAGCATAATTATTAATGCTAACATCACTAATAATTATAATAATAATGTCTCCTGTACACTGATTGGTTTATCAAAAATATGAAAAATTTATTATCTAACTCTTAATTAATAGTAGTCGTTTGAGACTAATTGAAGAAGGGAGAAAATTAATGGTAAAAATGGGTGTAAATAATTTCAAATTTTTTTTTTTTTCAGAAAGTTTCTTTTTTCGTTGACATTCCATTAATTGATAAATGTTAAGTGGTACTTAAGAATAAAGATAAATTTTTTTATAAGGTAGAATAAAGAAAATAAAATTTATATACTTGAAGTAACGGAAATCCCGGCTGATAAAACCAAGAATCCAAAAAACTAAACAGTGAAATATTTTTACTGATGAAAGTATTATTTCGAAGTTTCTTTGCTGCATATTGCCTAAATAAAAAAAAAAAATGGTTTTTGGAATACAATTAATGTGTACAATGTTTTGCTGAAAAAAAAAAGTACTTTTGATTAATCTTTCTTCTTTTAGATGTTCAGCTAAATAATTGCTGTTAACCTGCTAAAACAGTTCAAAAATTCATCTTTATCAGCATTTTTATACGCATATTTGGTCAAATAATAATGCAACGTTTCGCGGAACTCATCATCACCAACTGTTGCTTCCATCATACGTAAAACAGTGGCAGCCTGCAACATCAATTGACTATATCAGATGTTGCTGGTATCAAGAAAACAGAGGAAGAAAAGCAAACAAATAATTAAGGATAGTAACCTTTAGATATAAAATTTTTTTGTTGATTGTATAGACTTGGGTACTATTTTTTTTTAGGCTCATTGGTTGCTCCGTATAGCTGTCACTACGTAATGCATGATAAGCCATTTCAGCGGTAAAATATTCATTCTAAAATGCTCTGTATTAGTCAGAAAAAAAAGGACTGCCAACATTTCAATATGTTGGCAGTCCTTATATTTTATTGTAACAATATTTTATTATTGGTTATCAGTCAGTTAGTCAATTAGTCAGTCAGTGTGTGATAACTTATAACCGCAATGATAGTGAATGACAACGTCACAGAAAAACTGAACCGTTCTAATTGTTGTATTCTGAACAAAATCTGCTGCTTTAACAGCCATCATTGTTGCAAATCCTTCGTTTATCCACATATCATTCCACCATCGCATTGTTGCCAAATTACCAAACCACTGTAAAGATGGTGAAAAAAAAAAAAAACTTAGAAGCAAAAACAGATGTAGTTTAATAGTGACAAAAAAAAAA